TCGCCGTCGGGACCTGGAGCCCCTCGCAGCTTCCCAGCGTCCCCCCAGCCGGCACCCGCGTGCGGTGGGAGATGGACACAAGGGGAACGTCCTCCCGTACTCAAGCCGGAGGTTTCAGTTCTGCTTCACCGCCCTGCACACCATGGGAGCGATTTACTCTTTTTTGTTTTACCTCCTTTTGAGACAAACCCTGCAGATTTGGCGGTTCTTTTTTTTGTTTGTTTTACCCCCTTGGTGCTGCGGTGGGGGTCTCCTGGACGGGGGAAGGAGGAAGCGGGGGCTGCTGGTGCAGGGAGTGGGGAACCTCTGGGATTCGGGGGGAGGCACACGGCGCCCCATCAGAAGGAGCCCACCGACGATACTCGGTTCCTGTCTGCACTTCATGACCCTCTTGCTAAAAGAAAGTTTGCAGATGGGACCGTGTGGGACGTGGCAATGTGAACATCGCCGCTTTGCTGGAGAGAGCGGAGGGGGTCTGGAAAAGGGGGGTTCACACCCTGACACCCCATCAGTGCAGCTGGGGAGAAGAAGCCAAACACAGCCCGGCTCGCGCATCCTGAATTTATCCTTAGAAATTATTATTTGGCAAACAGGCTTGAAAGCTGCGGTCTGCTCCCGGCCAATTTGCACACAATACCTAACGATAACTGGGAGCCCTTCAGGCCCGGGTAGAGTTTTCCCTGGAGTTCTGGGGTAATTGAATCTGGGTTTTTACGTCAGCTCATCAATAGAGATGAGGTCCAGCCCTAGCGCCCGATTTTTATCTCCTTTACGCTCCCTCCAGACGGGCACAAGCCCGGTCACCTCTGCAGAGTCGTCCCCGCCGGTGCAGGGACCGAGAGGAGGAGGTTGGTGTCGTTGGGAGAAATCACGTTCTGGGCTCCTCACTGAGAACCGGCCGTTTGGCCGAGACCTTTAATCTCGTAGAAAGACGTACCCAGGAGTTGTTTTAAATATAAACCCCAACTTGTTGATGGCCGTGGAGTAGCTGAAGCCTGGTTGTGTCTGAGCGGGAGCGAGCTGCTTACGCCGCCAGCCAGAGATAACGCGCTGGGCTGCCGGGGAGCGAGGCGGGCGCCTGAACCCGTGCTGCTTGTGGTTGCAGGTGCCGGTGACGTTTGACGACGTGTCCGTCTATTTCAACAACAAGGAATGGGAGAAGCTGGAGGAGTGGCAGAAGGAGCTGTACAAGAATGTGATGAAGGGGAACTATGAGTCGCTCATCTCCCTGGGTAAATACGGGGTGTCCTGGCCCTGGCGCGAGGCAGGTCCGCTGGGGCGCCTGGCTGCCCACAGGCTCGGGCCTCTGCCGAGTCCTCCTCGGAGATCCCCTTGAGACCCTAACGTCCCGTTTTAAAGGGAGACTTAAAAACCCGGGAGGATGTTTGTAGTCTGGGTGAGGGCATCCCTCCGGCAATGTCCGGGTTCGTTCCCGGCGTGGGGCCACCTGCGGGCAGGTGGGCTGGAGACCTCCTGGGGCTCCTTCCAGCCAGAGTTACTTGGTGAACAGCCAGCTCCTTCCCCGTGGCTGTTGGAAGGGCTTCCCTGCATCTTCTGGGCCAGCAGCAGCTACCAGCCCATGCACCCCTCTAGAGGAAACTTTGGCAGCGTGAAAAGTTGTCTGCTGCAGTCTTAGCTGCGCTCCTTTGGGGCGCTTCCTGCCAAAGCTGCAGGAGAAATTCTGGCTCTGCTGGGGCCAGAGGTGAAAAGCTTTTGGCTTCAGGAGAACCAGGAATTTGCCTGAGAAGTTCTAAAACCCTGCCAGAAAAATGTATGGGTTGGGTTTCTTCTCAAAGGTAGTTCCTCTGCGCATGGCACCTCAGCTCCTGCCTCCAGTGAGTCTCCTCCGTCCGTCCAGGGAGCCTGGCCTGCCTGCAGCACCAGGCATTTCTGCCTGCAGATCCTTTGTGGATGCTCCTGAGTGTCCTCACGTGTCCCCCCGAGGCTGGGGAGAGGTGGAAGCCGCTATCAGGACTCCCTGTGCAGTAATCCCTCCATCCTCTGTCTCTCAACAGACTATGCAATTTCCAAACCTGGTGTTTTGTCTCAGATCGAGCAAGGAGAAGAACCGCGGGTCAGGAACGAGCAGGACTTGGAGGAGAGTGAGATGATGACCGATGCCACCGCAGGTGAGACGACAGCTTAGCACAAGGGGAGCCGTAGGTTGCGTTCAGAGGAGCTGCTCGCCCTGAGGCTAAAGCTGAGGGCCGTGCGTGAGGAGGTTGTCTTGGAGGAGCCTCGTGTACGAGCAGGAAAGGTTTGGCTGATTGGAGATTTGATGTCCAGGTACGGATAAACGTATCAGCCGGGGCAAGGGGAGCCTGGAGATTTGGGCAGTAGGAGCCATCAGCAATGGAAACATCTGCAACCAGAGCAGGTCCTCAGGGAGCCGGTGTGCCCAGCAGGAAAGGAGAATCGGATCCCATTGGGAAACCCCACCCACCCAAGGGAGCCGTAGCCTTCCCAAAAAATCCTTTCCGCCCTCTCTGGTTGTGTGGATGGTGCCTGGGTTTATCCTTGGAGCATCCCCCCCGGCAGGGAAGCCTGCTCCCATCCTGCACATGGGGACCCTGGGTGCTGAGGGGTTTCTCCAAGGGCAGGACGCCAGGGACCCGAGTCCCAGAGCAACTCCTGCTCTGCGATAAGGGGGCTGATGAGGAGATGAGGAGATGTCCGGGAAGAGACGGTGTCAGCTCCGCTGCTGATCCCTGGCCCCGGGCTGCGGATGTGGGGTCGCTCTGACCCCCTGCCCGGGCTCTTGGTCATGAGGATTTTGAAGTTAAGTCGAGATCATCGGGAAGAGAAAAATCATCCGCTGCTGACCCAGCAGTGTGGCCAGGGCGCACGGGGTGGCAGAGGGGTGCTGAGCTGCAGGCGCTGAGTCCCCGGGCCAGGCAGGGGTCGTCCCCTGTGCCTGCGGAATATCCCAGGCGAGAGGCAGGAGTGTGGCAGGGCTGGCTGAAGGGCAGGGGCCAAAGGGAAAGCAGAAGTGGCCGAGCAAACGAAACCCCTCTGCGGGATCAGCAGCCAGAGCCGGCGGGGAATTTTGCAAACGGTTTCTTTGTCCCGGCTCCCGGGAATGACAGCGAGCGGGAATCTCTCTTTGCTGCAGCTGGTATAAGGGTTGTGATCAAAACGGAGGAGCTCCTTCCTGAAGACAGCCCCGAAAACCCTGAGCTGCGCGGGATGTCGGGGCAGTCGGAGGGGAGCTTCCAGAGTCCGGACGAGGAGGCAGCCTGCGAGAGACCCTACGGCTCCGTCTCTCCTCCGAGGGACCTCCCGGCAACCAGCGTGGGTGACTCCTCCGAATACGTAGCTGACTTCAACGAGATCCAGAGGGTCATCGTTCACCACGGGAGCTGCACAGGTGAGACGCTGAGCCTCGGGGCGCTGTGGTGGGTCAGGCAAAGGTGGGCAAAGGGTTGGACGGAGGAGGAGAGTTAAATCTCCCCAGAACCAGCACCAGAAGGAAAGTTTCTGGCTGCAGCAACCTCAAGAGTGGCTGCAGTGAGACCTCAGGCCGGGAGGAGGACTCAGCACACACGTGGTGGATGTCAGAGCGTGGTCTCTGAGGGCACTCGACCTGCTCTGGAGCGGAGCGAGCAGTGGCTTGGTCCTCCATGGGCGGGAAAAGCCCTTGTTGCACATGGAGAACAAGGGAAGACGTGTCCCAGGCAGCGGTTTAAGGGAGCCCCAGTGAGCCCCTGCTGCCAAAATCCCACCAGTGCGGAGGGCAGGACGTCGGTCGAGGACTCCTGCCCGGGTGCGAGTCATGCGGAGGAACGGTGTAAGCTGCTCGGGCGCTTACGCACCAGACTCTGCTGGAGGAACGTGCGGGGTCCTGCACGCCGACCAGCGTGAGGGCCGCAGGGCAGGACCGGAGGACGGGGAGGAGGGTGGCCGGAGGTGCGTGGTGTGCGAGCTGCCGGGAGGGAAGGGGAAGGGTGAGGTTATTTAGTGGGGAGGTGAGAAGGTGGCACCGGGCGTGTCATGTGTGGAGGTCTGCCAGTTGGGTGGCAGGTACGGGCCAGGTCCTACAGACGTGCCTTGGGGGCGGAGGTGGGAAAGCGGGGAGATGGGCTGTTGGGAACGGGGGGTTCCCTGCCTTCTGGTGGCCTTGTGACGGTGCGACACAAACCAAGAAAGATTGAGTTGGGCTCTTGAGGTC